AGCTACAGTCACAGGACAGTAGATGAGGGAAACCTCTGCGCCTGCAGACAGAAAACATGCATCCTTCTCTTTCTCAGGGAAAAAGAAAAAACAAGAAAGGTTTTTTAAAAAAAATTATAAAACAAGAAAAAGCCTACTTCCGCCAAATCAGCAAATTAAAGAATGATTGTCACCCTATAGAGAACAGCATAAAATCAAAAGGACTATGAGAAAATAACTTTGTACCTTGTGTTCTGGATTTCTCTCTGCAAAATGTTGTTTACCCTGTCTAAACTCTTTTTTTCCAACCACAGTAAATGCATTAAACTATTTAGCTTTGGGCTATGTTAATTGTGATTCAGTGTGTATACTTAGGGGTTTTTGACAGGGTTTAGTTTAAGTTGCAAACAATTAGATTAGGAATCCTTTCTTTGTTCTTGTTAAAGTTAAGTGTGTTTCAATAAATGTAGAGTTGACTTATTGTTATTGACAAAATCCAATGGGAATTGCTCTTATCCTGAGTATCAGTCAATCAAGAAAATTGGTAATTTTGGTGGTCTCATTGAGATTTTATAGAATTGCACATTTTGCAATTGACTGTGGAACAGTGGAGCATAATTATCAGCACACACTTGACAGTTAAGTTGTGACATCGTACATGGGTGAGGGTGTTATACCTAGGCCAGCATTTATTGCTTCTTACTATTTGCTGCCTTCTTGAAATGTTGTAGTCCTTGGGATATAGGATACTCATATTTAAGAAGAAAGATCCATGATTTTCACCCAGCAACAGTGAAGGAATGATAATATAATTCCAAATCTGGATGATATGTAATTGGAGAGGAATTTGTGGGTGGTGGTGTTCCCATGCATCTGTTGCCATCATCCATGTCAGTGGAATAGGTCGCGGATCTGGAATGTGTTTTGAAGGGATCTGGGTGAGTTGTTGTAGTGTATCTTACATATGTGACACACTGTGCAGCAGCTATGAAGAGAGTGAATGTTGAAGGCTTTGGTTGGGATGCCAATCAAGCAGGCTGCTTTCTGCTGGATGGTTGACTTTCTTAAGTAAAAACCAAAAGAACTGTGGATGCTGTAAATCAGGAACAAAAACAAAGTTGCTGGAAAAGCTCAGCAGGTCTGGCAGCATCTGTGAAGGAAAAACAGATTTAACGTTTCCGGTCCGGTGAACCTTCCTCAGAACTGTTCTGAGGAAGGGTCACCGGACCTGAAACGTTAACTCTGTTTTTCCCTTCAAGATGCTGCCAGACCTGGTGACTTTAAGTGTTGAGGAAACATCAAGCATCCACGCAAATGGACAGTCTTCCATCACATTCTTGCCTTGTGCTGGACAGGCATTGGAAGAGACAGGAGGGGTGTTACCCGACACAGAATTCCTAGCCTCAGAGGTATTGTTCTAGTCACAGGCTGTTCCAGTTCAGAATCCAGTCAATGGTAACCCCCAAAGGAAATAGTACACAATTATTGGCTGCCAATTTCAGGCACCGAGACAAATACATTTGTAGAGACAGCTGAAGCCATTATGAACGCTTGTCCAGCATTCAAAAGTAATAATAGCTTCACCTCAGCAGGTGGTCTATTAATCCAAAAACAAGTGAAACTTTTAAAATGCCATAATGACAGAAATTGCCTCCTGACCTCACTGCTAAGTCTTTCCTTACTCAGGGTAAGGAGCTCCCAATAGCATGACTGAAGGGATTGCTGGAACACACAAGTCTTTTGAATATATCATGGCAAATCACAGAGGACATAAGGTATCAACATGCAATAATGCAAATTAATTATCTTTTAACCCGTCCAATTTAACCATTCACAGGTAACATGGCAAAGCAGGTGTAAAAACTATAGATATTTTCAATCCTTCCACTGTTGACTAGGTGCCTTGAGACCTTCTTCTGGTCTGTAAATCTCTTGATTCACACTTAAATTTCAAACCCTCCTTCAAGATGCCTACGGTCAGCCTATCTCCTCAATAGATTGTCAGAAACACTACTATAATTCTCAATGTAAATGCCTCTCACTACATTCCACCAACACAACGACTTCTCCTTTGATTTGCAACTCTAAATCTGATAAGCTATTCGGAGCAATTTTTCTTGTACCTATCCCACATTTCTAAAACTTCAATTTCCACATTAGTACATTATCCCTTGGTATATGCAGTTGCAGCAACAGCTACAGAGAAAAATCCACAACATAGTCAATTTAAAAACAGATGAAACTTGTTTTCGGATAGCTGAACCTGCCAGCAAACCATTGTCATCACTTGAGGTGGAAATCTTTTCAATCTTCAGCAACAAGTTCCTGCAAAAAACTTACTGGGCTAGACTGAATAAATAAACAAAAAGAACAATAAATGCAGTTTTACAACTGTTCAATGTAATTATTGGAATAATGATGGAAAGTTGGCAATATCTATTAAATAGCAGAGACAACAAGGTGCAGGGCTGGATGAACACAGCAGGCCAAGCAGCATCCTAGGAGCAGAAAGGCTGACATTTCCGGCCGAGACCCTTCATCAGAAAAGGGGGAGGGGACGGGCGTTCTGAAATAAATAGGGAGAGAGTGGGAGGCGGATAGAAGATGGATAGAGGAGAGGATAGGTGGAGAGGAAACAAACAGGTCGAAGAGGCGGGGATGGGGCCAGTAAAGGTGAGTGTAGGTGGGGAGTTAGGGAGGGGATAGGTCAGTCCAGGGAGGACGGACAGGTCAAGGGGGCGGGATGAAGTTAGTCGGTAGGAGATGGGGGTGCGGCTTGAGGTGGGAGGAGGGGATAGGTGGGAGGAAGAACAGGTTAGGGAGGCGGGGACGAGCTGGACTGGTTTTGGGATGCAGTAGGGGGAGGGGAGATTTTGAAGCTTGTGAAATCCACCTTGATACCATTGGGCTGCAGGGTTCCCAAGCGGAATATGAGTTGCTGTTCCTGCAACCTTCGGGTGGCATCTTTGTGGCACTGCAGGAGGCCCAGGATGGACATGTCGTCTGAGGAATGGGAGGGGGAGTTGAAATGGTTCGCGACTGGGAGGTGCAGTTGTTTGTTGCGAACCGAGCGTAGGTGTTCTGCAAAGCGGTCCCCGAGTCTCCGCTTGGTTTCCCCGATGT